GTCAATTGTTTTCTCAGCATCTTTCTAATGTTGAAAAAACTTTTAGAAATTCATTAGGGCCAAAATCTCTCGAATTTCGGCAATAATGGAATTACTAAGGTGCTGGAACTGAGCTATCTGCTCAGCAGAACTGTATCAGATATGATCCATTTTTTTTCTTATCAGCACTAATACTTCTTTTAAAACTTCTTCCTCAACTAATACTCATTCGGTAATCATTCTGATCAGCTTTCTTTCCAATCGCAGTGCCTCTCCACGGCTGCCGTCCAGAAAGTATCGGAAAGTCAGCCCACTGGTGATCCTAAAGCTCCCGTTTTCATTTTTTTTGTTCTTCCGCTTAGGCATTTGTTCAGCTCATCTACCGTCATTCATCTTACACTTCCAGTAAGTGGCGAAATTAGCAAAATTACCTTTTGACGAGACGATATAGTATTGGGGCGGGTAAATTAGCAAAATCGTCTTCAAACTGCTTCCATCGTACTTTTACAACTCTCCCGGTTTCCTCTCGTAATCGTTCCAGATCATTTCGAGCAGCAAACTCATACAACAATAAACAATTGTCCCCATCGATGCGCCCATAGAGAATCAATTCACATCTGCAAATTTATATGATATCCAAGTCGGATTTTATGTAGCTATAAAAACAAGTTTTAAACTTTGAACTTTATAACAACTGTGGGAAGCAGCACTGCTGTCGTAAGGATTTAAAAATTAGTTTCGATGATAAATTGGTACAAGCATATGCCAGGGAGTCAAACTCGCCATCAGTTTGCATGCAAAAAACATCTGTTGGAAGAGGGAGCTATCGACAACCTTACCTTTTACTGTTGGCATTTGCTACCATCTACACTAATTTTCGGAATATCTCCGACTCTCAAAGATAGCAAATAGGGATGAAATTTTTGTTCTTAATTTTTGAACTCAAAAAAACCTCACTTTTTCTGTAAATCAACAAGATGTAACTTCATCGCTGCTGTATATATTTCCATTAAATAATGGATATCAGCCTGGCCGTTCAAATCATCCGTGTACATCCATTTTAGCACATCACAGCCCACGTTATACGGGATATCTGTAAAACGATAAGCAAATATTTGAAAATTCTTAAAATTCAAAAGGCACAGGCATAGCTATGGTGCCAAAATAAAAAAAAAAAGTAAACTCTTCAAAAAAAGCACAAAAAATGAACCTTCAAAGAAAATGCTTTCTGCACTTGATAGATCATCCCAAAAATCAGTTCTCATAGAAATCACCAAACGATGCCCACGCAGCTGATGCCCATCACAGTGAATCGTAATATCACTGAAACAAATTTCGGCCATACCTCATCTGTCATCGGAATATCCCTGGTACCACAGTCAACGTTATTAGAAAACTTTGGCGCTCTGTCTTTTGTCTGTGCCGTACAAGTGAAAGCAGCTTAATTCGGCTGAACTAGGACTAATCCCACATCGAGATCTGAGGAAACACAGAAATTCATTTCTGAACCCTTTTATAAACCACTCTTATTCGCTTCTTTTTTTGGCTCGTGTAATGGAAAATTCGAAACATGCATATATTTTTATACGCATACGTACATACATACATACATACATACATACATACATACATACATACATACATACATACATACAATAGTTACATACATACATACATACATACATATATCTACACATACAAACACACATACATACATACACACATATCTACACATACAAACACACACGTACATACACGCACACAAAAGTACACACGAACAAACAAACGAAACGTAAACACAGAGTCTCGCCAAAACATGTTTTCGTATTTGCATAAATGCGTATAAAATAGGCGAAAAGACAAAATGGGTAGATGAATATGGACCTGTACAAATTTTTGTCATAAACTTCGGCGATTTTTGCCACCACTTTTCGCATAAATTCCAGCCGTGAATCCGATGAGCGATCGGCCAGAGCAGCCACGGAAGACAGAAGATCGTAACTTTTCTTGAGATCGCAATAGCTCTGCTGCAACTTGCAG